TTTTCCAACTAGAGATGCTGGTGTGTTAGCCATTAGCAGGGGAATGAATTGAAATAAGGGGGAAACTTCAGCCTTTAGATATCACTGAAGACTACAATAATCCTTCTGAGGGGGGAAAAAATGGCATCGCTCTGTTTGTCTCTCTGTGAAGAGGCCGAGATTGAGGAGGAGGGGGCACAAGAGCTGTTATTTAGCTGTCTCCGGAATGAAAGCCATCCAAGTCGGTCTCTTTTGTGCGCCTCCCCACACTGTTGGCTCTGTACCCAGCAGAAGCCAGGGCTTGAGAAGAAGACTGCGTCTAATTACGTCTCTTGTTTTCCACAATTCAGAGAATAAATACTGAGGAACACATCCCATAAATATTCATACTGGGAAAAAGAGAATTTGAAAAGCTCGCAAACGGAGGCAAAAGGAATCGATTCTCTCTTGACGAATGTCAGATCTGGTGAAAGTGAGAAGAGTTTTTTCTCAGGTAATATAATTAGCAGGTGCTCAACACCCACAGCTGGGCTGTGAAATCTGGATCGCTCTTACTGGCAGAGGGATAGCGAGAGGATTAATGTATTCATTATTGAATGATTTCATAAGTAATTCATAGTGTGGCATTGATTAAGAGTGATCACACAGTTGCCAGCAAAAAACAAGGTGTGTGTGTTTTTGTCTTTATTACATACATATATACCTTCTACTTCTACTTCTTCTAGAAACAGCGGAAGTAATATTAAGTAAAAGTATCTTCAATGGCCCCTTTGAGGTTCACCTACTTGTAGGTGCGCTATATGGATTGTTCTACCAATTTGGTCAAAAGTCATAGCTGAAAAAACATTTCTGATTTTTAAGTGATTTGGATTTTAGACTTAAGTCCTTTTGCTTTAAGTGACCCTATACCTTAATTATGTTTATTTTATTAAAACATTCTAATTTGTCACTACCAAAACAATCATAATATCACTGCACACTTTAGCAAATGTTTCGGTAGTGACTGTTTTGGTAATGACAATTTTAGATCATTCTGAACATAACTTAAAAACGCTAGCCAGTACATGACTAGCACACACAACCCTGAACAGTTATACATACATAAAATCATAATATTTTTCATTAAAACCACAAAAAGTTTACTTAGTTGTAGTGGACGCGGCCACTTAATTGACATATTTCCCTGTAAACCTGTAAAAACTACTTACTTTTACGTTCATCTCATGTTAGGGTTTTCCTAACCTGAGACGAACGTAAAAGTAGCTAGTGATCGATTCATCGGATTGTGATAATTACACAAACAACCAAACAAGTGCTAACTTTAATAAAGGGTCATTTATTAATAACAATGTAAATAGGCTCTAAAATGCCAGATTAATAGGTATGAAGAGAAGAAACTAGAGACATGAGATTTACTGGATGAACATACTGTAGGAAGCTGAAACTTGGAAATAGTTGTTTATGTGGTTTGAGCAGTACACAGAATGGAATATAAATGCTAGTGTAACCACTGATCTACGTTCAAATTAAAGGGGGACAGAGTAACACAGTGCCGAGACCGAATCATATAGCTGCGGAAGTGAGAGTGCCCTTACAGCCTTGAAGCTTGAGGAGGAGAGCCACGGGCCTCCCGGGACAGCCAAGGAGGGTCCTTAGGTCACAGCAGAGTCCCCAGGGACGTTACCCCAGAAACACCACAAAAACCAGCTTGGACGAATGAGCACTGTGAACTCAGCTGGCTTGTGTTGGCCTCTCATGAAGATGGCGGACTTTTCCAGTTCTTCAGCAGAGGCAGGTGACGTCAGGCCACAGTTTCACATTCTGCGGTGGCTTGCAGGTCATTTTTTTATTTCTGTTCGTGATTCTTAAGCTATGCTCACAGATCGATGGTTAATCAGAATTTTCAAATGAATCAAAGCAGCTTGGTAAGACTTTGTGAAGTGCAAACACAGTGAGTCTAATAATTAACAACACCAAAAAAAGGAATTGAACAAAGACACGACAAACAAAATAAAAAACAGGAAACAAATAAAAAACTGCAAATTTAAAGTGCAGAGTATGAGCTCTTAACATCTTCTGTTACATCTTCTCTCTATTTTTCTCTCTCTGTGTCTGTCCTTGTATAGGAACATACCTCTTTTGGGCTGAGCTAATGCAGGGAAAAGGGGTTTCACGCTCAATTTCCTCAAGAATATGCAATCTCTTTGTCTGAATATTGGCTCAAATTCATCATAAAATAACTTCACATACATATATTTCTGAGTGTGGTTGCACAGCGTTAAGTAAAAGAACATTATAAGCATGTAATTTCATATTTAAGCATTATTACTGTTTCAAAGGTAAATATTACCAAAAACTAATGAAGATATAACCTATAATATTTGAAGTACTCTGATTACTAAGAATGTCTAAGAGTGACAATTTAAGTTACACATTGATTTTCAGACTTTGGGACACATTTACTGTAATTTCTAACTGCTCACTATGTGGCCATGAGGGATGCAGTTTCACTTCCTGGTCTGAAATGCAGGGGTGTGGCTAAAATAAGGCTCCACCTTTTGGACTGAAAGTTTTTTATTTAAAAATCATACATTTTTAAAGCTCTTAACTTTAAAAGAAATCCAAAATATTTTTAATTAAAATAATTGAAATTAGGAATTTTAATCTAGGTTTTGGGACAGCCACTTCCCAAAAGAAGGTACCTTATAAATGATAATTTAGCTTAAAAATATAATAAATAATATGTGTATGATAAAGGTCTGAATATTTAAGTGTTCTTAAGTAATTTTACTGGCATGTGTAACAGTCTCTAACTGTACACCAGCAAGACGCATCTCTATGGTAGGGGTTTCTAATAAAGCAGCCACTGAGTGTACTGAGTTAAAAAAAATATTTCTGGTTGGCAACATTTATCATTCCTCCATGTCATGCACTGTTATAATGCCCTTTTCAGGACAGCCCAATCTCTCCAATCATCAATAATTAAGTTCCTACATAAATGTCAATACTCACATTACTCACTGCTATCAAAATATCTAAGCAGGTGGGAGAATTCCATCGTGGCTGCATCGATTCTCTGTCTGCAGCATGCCCGTAGTTCATGACAGCAGTTTATGGCTGAATGACCTTGCCATAGAGATCGCTGGTCTTTATTCATCCCATTACCCAATTACAGAGCTAGCGTGGCAGTCCTCTGTACCAAATAGAGCCGTGTGAGCAGACACAGTCGGCCTGGCCCTTGCAGCCTAGCGTCTGACCCACTTTACATTCCATCAGCTGTCTGCCCACTGCTCAATCTATAGAGGATAATGGAGGAGAAAGAGCTAGCGCTTACTGTATTGTTCTGAACATAGACTTAAAATAGAAAACATATTACTTCGGGGGCACATGAGGAGATGGAGAAGTGAAAAGAGTGTGGGGTCGGGGAGGGACTCTCTGAATTAAATGTTCATGGGTTTGTGCAACTTAATAAGGTTTTTACAAGGTTCCTACTGAACTCTGTGGTGTAAACAAACATCATTCTTGTTTTTTACACTTGTGGGTTGCTACTTTTCCAACATTCCAATGTCTAAAGCCCACAGTACACTAAGTGGTAGTTATTTGTATGCAATTAATTGAACTATACAATCTCCTGCAGAATTATTGGCACCCCAAGGCACTGTATGGCCTTGGTAATAGTGGTTGTACTAATTCAGTTAGCCAAAGTCACTTTTTACAATCTTCCCTGTTGAAAATGTGTGTGCTGTGTTAATACCTCATCATCATACTTCAGACAAGTGTCTACCTTCCATTTGGGAAAATAAGCCCTCCACAGCATCCACTATATAAGTTGAGTACAAATATTGTCGCTGTCAGAAGAAAACCTTGTATCACCAAAATGGTAACCTTACAGGAAAAGGAAAAAACATTCTTAACTTGCATTGGAAGTTATTGTAGCAATTTTTACAAATTAATTTTGGACCATTTCTATTGGTATGTTCATCGTACCGTTTTTAAACAAATCAAATGCTAACTCAAGTCTTCAAATTATGCAAAAAAACAAGTATGGTTAGCTACCTATTTTGTTGCTATTGCTTTATTTCCTCCTGTTATCCATGGAGTGGTGCAAGTTGTCTCTTAGAAGCTGTGCTTATTGAAATGATAACAAAAGCATTATGTTATTTGAGATGAATTTTTTTGCACTCTAAATAATTAATAATTTCAACAAAACAGAAAAATTCTATTGAACATGCAAATTCTAAACTATCAGTCTGTACCACAGTTGTGTTCGTAAGTAGAAGAGGAGATATTTTATTAGATGTCCAAATCAAAGTTTAAAAATTTGGTTAAATTGAAAAGTTGTGCATAAAGCAATGTTTTGTGGAAAAAAGAAAAATCCTTTTTTCATGTTTATGCACGGACTCTTCAAAATGTAAATGACATGTAAATGTAGTCATTATGTAATTAACTATGTCAGTAATTATGTAATTATGACAAAACATTTAAATAGTATAGAAACTAACAACATCAACTCATTTACATTTTCTGCAAGCTGCTGTTAAATGTACAGTACTGTACGAAAGTTTTAGGAAGCTGAGAAAATTATATTTGAAAAGCTGGCCAGTAACCAATTATTTACTTAAAGAAGAATAAAACAAATAAAAATAAGTAGTGATTTTACATGTCAATTTGTTCATTTAACTGTTTCCAAACCTCTCCTTCAGGAAGCCCAGTATTATTTGTTGTTACCCTTCAATACCTGATTTGGCTAATCGATGCTTTATTAAGTTAAATCAAGTGTACATAGGTTAAAAGAACATCTGCACAGTACAGTATGCTCAATTATTTTCCACTGACATTGAAAAATATTTATCTTTTGTTAACAACATTTTTGGACTAGCCACCTTAACATTTGATGCTGTGCCTGTGTTATGGCCCAAATATATTAGAAAGCAGCCATATGGTTTCTAGAGGAGATAGTCTGTTCAGTCTTCTGTGCATTATGTTACCTAAAGGAAATTCTGTCCTCTTTCCAAACCTAGGTTTACAAGATGTTCTCCCTGACTTCCTGCGTAACCGCTTTGTGGAGGCGGCCCTCAGCTACGTGGCATGTAATTCAGAGGGTGAGCTGTTGTGCCGTAACAATGACTGCTGGTGCCGATGCTCTACAAAGTTCCCAGAGTGCAACTGCCCCTTCACCGACATCAAAGCCATGGAGGACAGTCTCCGCAAGTGCAAAGAGTCCTGGATGGCCTCCAACAAAGAGTTCATCGAGTCAGGTAGGAAAACGATGCTGCTTTTAATTGCTACAGAGGTGCAGAAACTGTACCTAGTGCTAGAAGTGAAGTTATTTTTAACCAGAACAGTGTGCTCCAAATAGGGCTGCACAATATATTGTTAAACATTATTAACTATAATTAAGTTAGTTAATCTTACAGTATTCAAAAGCAGCAATATGCAAAAAGTCCTCTAACTAATCACATTTTTTTTCTTTTTCTGTGTGCTGTGAGCATCTTGGCTAACCACAGATGAGTGTTTTGGTGAATCAAGGTATTCAACAAAACCAACAAAAGTCAATTTTCTTGGTCGATCTTTAACCATGTCAGATTACTGATTCACCAATGTATTTTTAATACAACCCCATTTCCAAAAAAGTTGGGACGCTGTGCAAAATGTTAATAAAAACAAAATTTTAATTGCAGATCATTTAAACCCTATATTTCATTGAAAATAGTACAAAGACAGCATATCAAATGTTGAAACAGAAATTTTATAGTTTTTTGAAAAAAATATGCCCATTTTGTACTCTGTAAATATTTGGGAACTGAGGACCGACTGTTGTAGTTTTGAAAGTGGAGTGTTTTCCTATTTTTGCTTAACATAGGATTTCAGCTGCTCAACAGTTCGGGGTCTCCTTTGTCATATTTTTCATTTTATAATGTGCCAAATATTTTCAGTGGTGACAGGTCTGGACTGCAGGCAGGCCAGTTTAGTGCCCGGACTCTTTTAATACAGAGCCATGCTGTTGTAATACATGAAGAATGTGGTTTGTCATTGTCTTGCTTAAATAAGCAAGGCCTTCCCTGAAAAATACGTTGTCTGGATGGCAGCATATGTTGCCAAAACATGTATATATCGTTCAGCGTTAATGATGCCTTCACAGATGTGCCAGTCACCCATGCCATGTGCACTAATGCACCCCTACACCATCATGAATACTGACTTTAGAACTGTGCACTGATAACAAGCTGAGTGGTCTTTAGTCCGGAGGACACAGTGTACAGATTTCCAAAAAGAAATTCAGATGTTGATTTGTCAGACCACAGAACACTTTTCCACTTCCCCTCAGTCCATTTTAAATGAGCTCAGGCCCAGAGAAGGAAGCAGCATTTCTGGATCCTGTTTATGTACAGTTTCTTCTTTGCGTTTAAGAGTTTTAGTTAGCATTTGTGGATGCAGTGATGAACTGTTTTCATAGACAGTGGTTTTCAGAAGTGTTCCTGAGCCCATGCAGTGATTTCCACTACAGAATCATGTCCATTTTTAATGCAGTGCCGTCTGAAGGCCCAAAGCTCATGGCCAGCAAATACTGGTTTTTGGCCTTGTCCCTTGCCTACAGATATTTCTCCAGATTCTCTGAATATTTTAATGATATTATGTACTGTAGACGATGAAAAGCAAAAGTTCTTTGCTATTTTATGTTGAGAAATGTTATTCTTGAATTGTTGCACTATTTGATTGTGCAGTCTTTCACAGAGTGGTGAACTCCTCCTCATCGTTACTTCTAAAAAGACTCAGCCTCTCTTGGATGCTCATTCTATACTCAATCATGTTATAGACCTGTTGCCAATCAAGCACCAGGTGTCTTTTTAAGCATAACACAACTGTACCAGCCTTTTGTTGCCCCTGTCCCAACTTTTTTGGAACGTGTTGCTGGCATCAAATTCAAAATGGGCATATATTTTTCAAAAAAGCAATAAAATTTCTCAAGTTTCAACATTTGATGTATTGTCTTTGAAGCATTTTCAATTAAATATAGGGTTTAAATGATTTGCACATTATTGCATTTTGTTTTTATTTACATTTTTCACAGCTTCCCAACTTTTTTTGGAAATGGGGTTGTATATTACAAGGCATATTGCAATTGGAATATGTAGCGTCATAACCACAATACTAGTATTTTGCCACATTTTGCAATCCTAGTGTCAAACTTATCATAGTGGAAAAAGTAAGATATTGAACAGTCTGTCTAACAGTTAACTTGAGCTTAATATTACAGTGCTTTCAAGAAACTGGTCCCAACCCTTTTAAAACTCAGGGCCATGGGAAGGGACTTTAAAGGCTCATCGTAAACAGCGGGGAGAACACTGACACCACAGGTGAACACTCAAAGTCTTGCTGGCTGTGGGGGAAAAGTAGTTTCGACATAACTGAGTGTGCAATGGCAGTGTTTGATGGTGGCAGCTGATTGATATGCACACAGCGTTCCCATCCGCTCTTTTGCAGTCTTCCCTCTTTGGGTCTCTCCTACATTGTAAAGGGAACATCTGCCAGCATTCAGCGATACTCCGGAGAGCACATCATAAAATGAACTCACGTAGCAAAAGCACAGTTTAATTACTTTGCGCTGAACATTGACAATGCCTGCCCAGACAAAAGCTAGTGATTGCATATTTAGTTGGGGCGTATGAGAAAAGGGAAAGACGTGCCATTCATTTTGTCCTGATTAAGCTGTTGGAATTGCAGTGAGGGGTTGGTAGTGACCTAATGTGAGCAAGAAGGTTTAACCCTTATAATTCACAGTTATCGCCAGTCATTACAAAAACATGGTGTAATTTGATATGAATTATTTCTCACCTGGTCCATTGAAAGAAGCAAAGAACTTCTGTTAAATGAACAGATTTTAAACTTGCAATGGATACCACATTTGTGTTCATGCATAGAAGGGGTCAGTTTCTTTATTTGATTTTCATGGACAGTTATTGGTGTGCATACAGTGCTTCGCAGAAAGAAAAAAACATTGCTATGCTTTTCTGTTGTTTGATATCGAAACAAAAAATGAATGTACATACTCAAACTTGTCAATACAGAATATGAATGTAATTTAAATTTAACTATGCAATTGCAAATTATCGTAATTACCTTTAAATAGTACAGGAAATGACAGTTACTAATACTCTATAGATTGACTAATGGCTAAACTAGACCATATAGGCCTGTATTGGCTTCATTTCTGAAAGTGGAAATGCACTGCTGTGAATGCGAGCAAAGAAAGTATGATTTATTGTTGTTCATTTTCACATTTGAGTCAGAACTCTTTAGAACTGGCTTACCGTGATAGAGAACTTAAAGGGAGACGGCAGAAAGAGAGGCGGACAGACAGACGGAAACATAGTGAGCTGGTTTCCCCCTGACGGAGTGTTTCTTCAAGCGGGGAGAGATGCAGTCCTAGAGATAAACCCCGGCCGGATCTAAAAGCCCATCCCTGCTCTGTGTTGGGGCGTTAATGAAAGCAACCCAAATCCCTTTAACTGTGGCGCCGCACTCCTGCAAATGCATATCTCCTTTCGGCAGGTGAACCGCTAGGCTCAGGAGAAGAGTCTTTTGACCGAGGCACCACCGCTGCATGCGAGTTTTATTTGCCCACTGTCAGGGAAATCAGCCCCCATTATCAAAAGACCAGACAGCAGAGAGAGGATTTTCAAGGCTGCAGATTTAAAATGGAAAAAAACTGATTTGCCACGCAAGATTTACAATTCTGTTTGAGTCCTGGATATTGAAAACCTGAAATTTTGTTTTTTACAATGTATTTGGCACATGGTTGAGTTTGTATTAAACATAAAGAAAGGTGTCTGTTTTTTAGGTTTATATTATATGTTAGTTTCGGCAGTGATAGTTTTCAGTTTTACAGTACAGACCTACTTTGGCAAATAAATAGACATTTACTTTCAATGTTACCCAAGACGTTTTCATAAAATGAAGATCTCATTTTACATGGCGAACTGTTGAGAGATATTTCCAAGTGCCTTTATTAGAAAAACTTGCTTTGAACCTTCACCTTGATGGTACATAATTATCTCTAAGAGATGCTCTACTGTGTTAGCTATCCTTTAGCCCTTCAGCGGTCAGTTTTTGATGAGTGGTCAGTGGTCACCAAATTGATCTTACTGTTTTTGGGCCTCTGCAAAACTGCTGTGCAAAACTCCTGAAAAAAAAATATGCTGATCTCGTTGGTGTTGAAGTTGCTAAGCAGCTCCTGCATGGTACTAACTTTATGTTGAGGACACTTTTCTCTTATAAAGCACTAACAACGTTTGATTGTGATTCCGTCTAACTAAACGGATCTGCAGTTTGTGCTGTCAAGTTTTAAACTTGCAGTAAAACCATTTAATTAAAAACTAAAAGGAGAATAAAGAGCTAATATTCCTACCTGAAGCGGTTACATGACAGAGCCAAGTCGGAGGCATTGTGAAGGGTGGTATAAGGATCACTATAACTACATATTTGAGATGATTCATCAACCTTGTCATGTCTCCAAGGTTAAACCAGCTTCTTATTCCAAATATAGTATTTTTCCTATTGTCTAATAATTTAAAGTGCTCCCACAAGTGATTACTTCTCTGCTCGTAGCTCACCACGTTTCAATGGCCACAAGGAAAGTGGAGCAGTTTGTTGCATTCTAAGGAGAGGTGATGTAGATGTGTTGTATGAATTTATGATGTATTCTAAATTAAACCAGCTATAATTTATTTGGGTTTTTGTCATTTTTCTTATATCAGCAAAAACTGCTCAATTTAAAGGCTTTTGCTTAGGAAATTTATTTTAGGCTAATATTGTTAAAAAATATGAAGACCAATGTAATATTTAGGTAGTCGAGTATTCAAATTATTTGGGTCAGTAGTGTAGATAGTCAACCTATTTAGGTGTAGCTCATCAAGTGGCTAATGTACAAGTACAGTTGTAGGTGTTTCACATAAAGTAAGTGTATATACAGTACTGTGCAAAAGCATCTGAGAAAATTTTAGTGAAAAAGCTGTCCATCTGGGCAGGTATATTTATTTGCTCAGAAATATAATAAAAATGCTTTGTTGAGGGAGCCCAGTTTTGTTTGAAATTATCATCCAGCACCTGGTTTGGCTAATCAATACTTCATTATATTAAAGCAGAAGTGTTGTTGATGGAATTTAATAAATCTCTGTGATAACTGAGGACATCAAGGAGAAATCTAGAACCAGACCTGTGTTTTTCAGCTCATAAGATATCAACTACTTTTTGAAAA